TACTCCTACGGTCCATCGTTTACATACAAAATTATAATTAAACTATACGTATGATAGTAAGTGCTCTACGCTTCTCAAGACAATAAAAAATAAATGTAGAACGATAGACGGATGTTTCTCTTGAATTTATATACAAAAATGTCTATATATTAGTGGGATTTATCAAACTTCAAAGAATGTAATCTCTGCAATTATTATAACAGTAATTACTCAACTAATTTTTTTTCTCCATAAAATCCGCAGATCATTTTTAATTGAAAGCTCAAAATAGCTAATCTTAAATATAGATAATACGATTTAGATGTAATCTTAGTATTTTGATCAAAGTGCTTTATCTATTTGATTAGTTCCATCTATGAAGAGTGTAGAATGTTGCATCAATACGTCCTGCACCTGTTATTTCTTCTGTTTACGTGATTATAACCAAGAACCTCTGCGTGTTTTAATAAATTATTTTTTCACCAACATTTTCTATGCATGTTGCATCAGATTATGTCATTAACGTCACATTCCCATCTTCGTCTATTTTGGCATCATTTTCATCAAGACATAAATCATTTTTCTTAGCACAGTCATGAACACCGTAACATGATTCAGACCTTTATCGACTAAATTTTGTTTCCATTCCACCGTCATTCATTTTCTCATTTACTCATCACATTTTCATTACCAAATTCTTCATAGACTTATCTGTTTATCCATTCATTTTCTTTTTGAAGGATTAAAATGCAGACACAATTAAAAAAAGGGTGTGGGTGTTCCTCTTCTCATTGACTCACACCCACACCCCATTAAAAATGAATCTGGAACTCGAATAGATTTTGAACGTGCTAAACCATTTACTTCATTATTCTGGATTGAACGAAAATTAATATTAGAAATTGAAATCACTTTATTCCAGATCATTTATTCGATTCGTCCATTCAATTATTTATAGGTGATATTTATTTATTTATCGTTTAGAAAAAGATGATATAATATCAATTCTTCTATAGACTTTTCCAAATCTATTCAATTAACTATAACATCTTTTCCTCGTGATGAATACTTCGAATCATTTTTGAGTTCTATTTGTACTCTTTTACCAGTAGCAGAGATTTATCATTTGAAAATTTCTCATGAAAGAATTATATCAAGTTCATTGATGAAAATTCTTAATGTATTACCTGAACTTGATTCATTAAAAATATTTTATTTATCAATATCATAAGTCCGATATCAATTTATTGATGATCAAAATTTTCGTTTGGTATCATATCAAAATAAGATTACAAAAGTTTATCTTATGAATGTGAAGAAAAGTGAAGAAGTTTATTTTCTTCTTAGACTTTATCCACGTATGAAGTATCTTAAAGTGAATTTTATCTATGATATTGATCATAAATTATTTGTTAGAAATTTTTTAAGAACAATAAACAGTCATCGTCATCAATATCTTCAATCATTAGATTTTCAAATACCAAAAATAAATGTTCAAATAATTAATGAATTAGAAGAAATGATCAATCATGAAAAATTACTTCGTCATTTTACAATTAAGCATATACTTAATTATATCCATTTAGAATGGAAATTAATATAATATAACTATTATGTTTTCTTTTTCATTATACTTTGAAATAAAACAAAATAATTAATATTTTTTTTAAAATGCGATATTTTCAACTAGAAGTTTTTATTTTTTCGATCAATTAGATACTAATAGTAGTGATTCATTTTTCTTAAATCGACATTTGAAAGAAATGATTGTCGAATCTAAAGAATGAATAAAAAATAATCCTATAAATTTTAATATAAAAATATTTCAGATCGTTAGTAGATTAATATCTAGAAAGTTGCTTACAAGATAAAAAAAATTAGGTTCTGATAAAATTACGAAGGTTGTGAAATCTTAGAATAAATAACTCCAGAATGATGGATGAATCAGATCAAAATACTCTTTGAATATTGAGATCGGATTCATTAAAGGCAAAGATAGCTTATCACTTTTAACTCAATCCTTTTTTCAATCAATCGAGTTCAGGTTAGAGCTCGCGATCAGAATTTGTTTTTGAGCTCTATCTGTGATAGAAATAGTTATAAAAATTCAAACATATACGAAATAGCAATAATAATAATTGAAAATAAGTTTGATAGAAATATTGTTAAGAAGGGACAAAACAAAACTTATAAGTTTAACAATTAAATATAGAATTAATTTTCTCATAGTTTTTCAGTGATTCTTAGTTGTCAATCATGATTGTACTTTTAATGACCTTTGTACTTTAACATCTTGTACACGGCAACTTTGTCATTTAGATTTGATGAATGTATTTGAAAATTATTCAAACAATGAAATTATATTGCCAGTTGGGGTGTGGGTATAGATAAGAGCTGAATTCTCTCCTACCACCACAGCCACACCTTCCTCGGTATTAAAATACGAGCAGATGATGACTTGGACTGTTCCTTGAAATATAGGTTTGAAGTTCCTCTATGTGAAACACATGTGAAAATCAAAATTACATCGAAACGAAACGTCCTTTTCGTGCATTTTGCTGAATACTTTTCGAAAATGAAGGATTTCAAAATAACTAGATTTTATATAGTATCGGTCAAAAAGATGTCCCAGAATCTCCGCTATCGATTACTGAAATCTACAGATCGTTAGTTAATACCATTCTCGAGTTCTATGACTTGCCTTCATCCCGTTTAAATTCTGACGCCGGCATCAGAACGTGTTTCATATTTTAAAATGGCAGAAATTGCACACATAGTTTTTCTGATTTTCAATATTAATAATTATAAAAAAAAAAATTTTAATATTGTAAAATAAATTATCTTCGTTGTCTTAGTTCAAAGCAACATTTAAAAAATCTTTTTGATGATGGTTTTACAATAAAAATTCGTTTACAATCTTCACTGAATTCAACATTAGATCAAACAGTTCTCGATTGTTTTTCATCAAATTTTACCTTAAAAGAACATCATATAAATATATTACAATATGAAATAGCTGAAAAATAGGTTTCATTAAAAGATTTTTTTTTCTAAACTTGAAAATTTATTGATTAATGAA